TAATAATAATAATAATGGGGCAAGGGGATCTAGAAACAGAAGGAAAGAGGCAGGTAGGAAGGGAAAGGAGAATAAAAAAGAATCAAGATGTTATCCACGTACCCACTCCTTTAGGCGGTTGTAAACTTCATGTATGCCAAACATGTACTAGGAAAAGAAGAAAGGAAAAAAACTAAACTATTAGGAAAAAACTAAAACTACTTAAAACACTTTTTAAAATCTCTTCTTAAGAGAAAAGGCCTTTGCAGACTTGCAAGGCCCCAGGGCACACACTTTCCCACTGTGCCTTTAGAGTCCCAGGTCCTCAGTTCCCCAGTGCTCTCAGCCTCCAAGGCTGCGCCCCGACACACCGCCAAGCCTTCTCTGCCAGATTCTTCTACGCCCTCCTCCTTTACAAAATGCACCTTTTCTTTAGATCTCACCATCCTCCTAATGAAAACTTCCCTTTCATGACGATCTCTCCGAGCTACTACCCTATTTTACTCTTTCTGTTTTTGTTTTTCTTTTGTCAAATTTCTTCGTGACCTTATTCCTCCTCTCCACTTCCTAACGCTATTCCCCACTGAAGGGGACCTGGCTCCTTCCCGGCCTGCTGGACCTGTCCTCCCTCCAGCCCACAGCGACCTCCATGTTGGAATTACCGAAGAACCTTGTCGGGGTTGAGCTTACCTGGCCTCCTCAGTGCAGGGCACTGCTCTTCCTGCCCACAGAATTCTCCCTTCTCCGAGTCCCAGATGCCATCTCTCCTGCGACTCCATAGCAATCTTTTGTTTTGTTTTGTTTTTCTTCCTCTTCTGTGGGACCTGAATTGCTGCTGTTTCCAGGCTTCCCTCACCCAGGGCTCTGATCTTATTACACAGCTGGTTTGTTCTATTTGTCCTATTTGTCTCCAGAGATCAAAACCTCCGCAAGTTAAAAGGTGGTGATGGGAGACTTGTTGGAAGTATCCAGAGACATCGCAGAGAAACCAAGCATGGGCTCTCTCCCAGGGCAGACCCTCTTGCTGCCATGGCAACATTAGAGAAGAATGCTGATCCCCTGCTTGGTGTCCTGGTTGTGAGCAATGGAGGATGCTCATTGACCTTCACCGGGTGACAGACATGGGGGACCAGGATGCCTCCCTGACTGCATCTTCCACCTGGGAGGGGCAATAAGGGGTGCAGACCTGGGTTTCTTTCTAAGGTCACTGTTGAGAGTCCCCTCTGCAAGCCCCATCATCTCCAGCCAGCACCCTGGGACATGCAAATCCCCTAGTAGAAATCCAGGATGGGAAGTAGATGTACTGAAGCTTCTGTCCTAGGTCATATTCTGTAATCTGGCTTTTATCAAAGAAACCCCTTCTGGAATTGATAGGAGGTTGTAGTGACTAATAATAACCATCATTCCACCCATTTTCAGGTGGCTCTTACTGTACCTGAAGACCCTGTTGGCAGGGACCTCAAGATATCTCTCCCTACGCAGAAACCGAGGCACTTGAATTCACTCGGGAACCATACCAAGTGATAGTTCTGAAAGGCAAGCACTGTGCTTGCTGCTTTTTACCACCTGAATCTTCGAAGAGCCTCAACCAGAGAGGCACAGTAAAGGTTTAACACGGTCACAAAGGAGCTGTACGTGCCCGACTATCCCATGTCCCCCCAGTGGCAAAGTCATGCACGTAACACTGGCGCTTCAAGCTGGTGGGAATTGTTAAAAAGTGTTGCCACACAGATCTTCAGCATATTTCTTTCTCCAAAATATTAACTAGTTTGATTCTCTAATATCTTTCCATCCTGAATCTAAGTTTCCGTTTCCCCTTCCTGAAAATATGAAAAGACCATTAGCCTCCTCTCCCAGTACAGAGAAGAAATATTCATGTACCATAACTGTTTCACCAAGTGAGTTAATTTCCATATCTGTACTAACTTTAAGAGCAACTGGGTGGGGAAAAATTGGAGTCATTCCTGTGACTCAGTTCCTGGCCTAGGCAGATAAATGCCTTTGATATGAAAAACGAGGCTCTAATGGGTCAGCATTGTTCCGCTGAATGGCAACTGCCACTGAGCTGAGCAGTCAAGAAGAAAGCCAGAAAGGAAGGAGATTCTCTGAATTCACTGTGGCTCTTTTCAGCCTGGGCCTCCCTTCCCATTGGATCCTTGTCCACCTGCTGCCCAGACACTTTTGCAATTCCAGAGTTCTCACTTAAAAATCAATTAAAGAAGCCCAACTTGAAGTTGGTCCCCACCGTGAATTGAGCCTATTCAGTACCCACCCTCCAAGTCTCACCTTCGGCAGTTTTAGTTACCTGTGGACAATTACAGTCCAAAAGCTCCAGAAGTCAACAAACCATAAATTTTAAATTGCTCTTCTGACAGCATGCCAGAATCCCCTGCCACCCTGCCGCATCCTGCCTAGGATGTGAATTATCCCTTTATCCAGTGCACGTGCGACCCACTCCATGGCCATTGAGGGACAGACTGCAGTCACATAACTTTTATTACAATATATTGTTCCTCTATTTTACTCTTATTAACATTAGTCTTTCACTGTGCCAAACTTGTAAATCAAGCCTTATCACGGGTATGTGCATATAAGAAAAATGTAGTCTGAATAGGTTTTAGTGGTTTCCTGTGTGTACCGGGGGTCTGAGTGCATATCCTCAGTAAATAAGGGGTGCCACTGGACCCCCCAAGGAAAACTGCTGACACCTTCCAGCCACCAATGAGCCATCAGTGTTTTCAACTCCCAGGGTACCTACCGGGCTCTGTCCCTCCGGCACTGCTAGGGCAACAAAATACTGTCCTTCTCCTTTAGGAGCCTGCAGCCCAGTGAGGGAGACAGATACAGAGCGAGGAAATGTCAGTAAGGAACAAGCAAGGTGCAATCAGTGTCTCATTTCTCTATATTGGTTCTAACCGTCTTCCCCAAGAACCTTGCCCGATTGGCTCTGTCTTTCCCCATTCTTCCACTTCTCCTCTCTACCTTCAACTTCTTTTCACATTTAAGTATGAGCACATCTCTTCCATTTTGAAAACTACAAAACTATAATTTTTTTCTTTATTCACTATTATTTTCTAGTAATGATTCTGTCTCAACTTTTACAGCCAGCATTTGGAAATATCTCTTCTCTCTACTCTCTCTTCTCCCTGCTTTTTCCTCTCTTCTCTTCTCTCTTTTCTCCCCCTGCTTTTCTTTCCATTCCCTCCGCAGCTCACTCAATATGGACTTTATTCCCTTCATTCCACTGAGAGCTTTCCCCTAAGAAAGTCCTTCACAATGTGCTAGTCAGTGTACCTCCGTCTTCTCTGTCCTTCTCAGCTGTTTGCCACACTTGACAATGATCTGTTTGAAGCCCTCTCCTTTGTGCCTCGCAGAACCGTTCTGTACTCTTCACCCTCCTTCATTCCCCCAACCCCACAGACACCAAGTCCTTTCCCCTCAAAGGGAACACACTGCCCAAGTCCACATTCCTCCTGTCTTAACATCTTACCTGACCTCCTGCCTCCCCTTGGGCCAGCCCTGTCTCCACTTACTTGCAGCATTACAGCTAAATGAGATTTTTAAAATGTCAGAGTTGATTATGTCTTTTCCTTCTTTAAGTGGTTAGTGATTTCCAACATCCGGGATGTAAAGACCAAAGTCCTTGTCAGGATCTGCCATATGCACCCTGACCTGACTGAGCAACATCTCCAGGCCCCCGCTACACCACACTCCCCAGTCCTCCCCAACTGGCCAGCGTGATCTTCCCAAGGCAGTTTTTCTCACATTCCATGGACTTTCTCATTTCATTTGTCCTCTCTCCATGAAATGTGCTCCTTCCCATCTTGCTTGGCTAACTCTCATTACTCAGATTTCAGTTTAAATGCCAAATATTTCACTTAGGAATCTCTGATTGTAACAAAAGAGCACAGAGCATGTAGAACTCTGAATGTTTCTTCTTGTCACTCAACACACTGATTACTTTCTCAGAGCCCACCTTCATCCCTGAACACCCTACGGCTGTTCTAGGGGCCCTGTCCATCTTTTTCATTGTGACTAGGGGTCCTGTCCATCTTTTTCATTGCTGGGTCCCCAAATCCTACCATGGTGCATAATTTCCAAAAGTGTGTTCTTTATTTTTACTTGTTTGTTTGTTGGTGCGGGAAATCAACTCAGGACCTTGCGCTTGCCAGGCAGGCGTGATACCGCTGAGCTATATCCCTGGCCCAAAAATGTGTTCTTTATTTTTAATTGACACATAGTGTATACATGATATACTATGGGATGGAGTATGACATTTTGGTGCATGTTAATAATATGCAAAATGATCAGATCATGGTAATTCAAACTTCCTTTATATTACGTATTCATCATTTACTTGTTTGGGAACATTCAAAATCTTCTCTACTAGCTGTTTTAAAATTTGTTGCCAACCATAGTTACCCTACTATGCTACAGAACTTCAGAATTTTTCCTTCTGGGCTGGGGGTGCAGCTCAGGGGTAAAGCACTTGCCTAGCATATATGAGGCCCCTGGCTTCAGTCCCTAGAACCCCCTCCCATACAAATGCATTCCTTCTACCCAGCACAGAGCATCTTTTTTTCTGCTTTTTTATTTTAAAGAGAAAAGAACAAAAACAAAATAATAAAAACAAAGACATAAATAAAACAACATAAAAACAATACAGAGTTTCAAAACAAGGTGATAGGAAATTAACAATGGTTGCTGTATTATATATTGTTATCTTCAAAGTGGTTTCTCAGATAACCAGATCTAAGCATGTAAGTTTGATCAAACAATTAAATATTAACTATTCCTTTCAATAAACCAGTAGAATTGAGCAGTATAATTACCTTAGCTAAATTGTGTATATATATATATATATATATATATTTTTCCCCTGTCTTCTGTGTTTCTTTTTTCTTTTCCCTCATCCCAGTTGTTCTTTCTTTTTGATCAGTTTATAAATGAATACTCTATGATTTAAGAACAGGTGAAGGAGCTGGGCGTGGTGGTGCACGCCTGTAATCCCAGCACTCGGGAAGCTGAGGCAGAAGGATCGTTGTGAGTTTGAGACCAGCCTGGGCTACAAAGTGCACTCAAGGCCAACCTGAACTGCATAGCGAGACCCTGTCTCAAAAAAGACCAAAAAAAAAGAACAGGTGAAAAGTGACACTAATGCCAGTCTGTAAAATTGAGATGAGGGTTGAGCAAAGCCTATTTTCAAATATCTAATTTGAACAGGAAACTTCATCTAAATCAGAGGGAAGACCATATAGAAAAGTCGGACATTCGTAAAAGTCAGATGTGTTTACAGAAGCAGCTAATGAGGACAGAAAGAGCTTTAACAGAGTTTTTATTCTTGTGTATTATAGAATACAGCAAGAGCTGTACATATAATAGAGTACATACCAGGAGGAAACCTTTATTATATTAGATAAATGCATGTTGCATAATTTTAACTAAGGTATGGCAGGGCAGATACAGAAAATGGCATCTAGGATAAGGCATTTAGAACTAGTTCATCCCTATAAATCAGGCTCGATCTAAAAGAATTGAGGTTTTACAAAATCAAGAATTTGATCTTTGCAATGGAAAAAATCTTCCTAAGTTAAATTGTAGCTGTCTAGAACTGAAAGGGACCTTTTATTGCCAACCAAACCTTGCCACCCTCCCACTCCTATCTTCCCATATTTTATAACATAACTGAGGCTCTAAGCAGTTAGATCTTTTCCCTAAGTTTACATGTCTGCTTAGTGGCAAACCTGGTAATAGAAACCAGATCTTTGTGTCAATCAATCTTGATTCCTTATGATTCTTGATTCCATAAATTCCAGTAAGATTGCACTAAGCAGTGGCCTAGAAAAAAGCTTTCCTGGAAACACTTCTG